CATAAAATACTAGTTCATTATACAACTTATTCACTTTTCTTTTGTATTTTCTGTAATAATGTATTTCACTAGTGATAAAAATGTATATTTTGTTGCAAAAACTTATTGTTTGTGGCTACTGTATGTGCATCAACTGTACATTTCCATAATTATTTCAGCACTGTACACTGTGTACTTGAACATTTAGTAGCATAATTCCTCAGTACCAACTGAATGGAAAGAATATCTTGTCGAATCAAATAACGTAAGTTATCACGCCCATCGTCAGCAATGTGTAGACAAAATGTAGAACATTCATGGAAAGACTGTCGAGTCTGTAGCTTTAACCAAGTTTATCATACAAAAAGGATATGCGGACTTTCAATATCTACAAAGTTTGTGAGGTGAATATCATGGGCTTTCCCTGCAAAATATTTAGGTGGATGATCATTGTTTTTTAAATCAAGAGTGTATGTGAAGTAATGTATGATCTGACTATCCAAGAAATCATGTTTAAGAAGTTCATTAGGAGTCTTATCTTAGAGGCATTTCTGAGCGTTAAAGTTGAAAGGAGGTAAAAAAATCAAAATCAAGTTCAGTATGGATAGAGACCAGAATAAGGTAATAAGGAAGGACTTGAGTCAAAGGTTTGAGTACCACAAGGAGTATAGCACTACAGTACTTTAGCAAGTGTTTTTATTCAAGGTAAAAAAGAATTTTGAAGCAACAGAGATACATTTTTCTTAGCACAAATGTTCAGTTTCCTAAGCTACTAAGAAATGGTAGTGGCATAGGCTTTTCTATAAGTTACGATTAGTTTTCTTAGGAAATTGTCCACACTTGGAACATTTGATGTGACATATATACAATATATCATAGAAGAGCGTTCAATGTAGCAAAAACACCCTTGTGTCTTAGCAAACATGACACTCATCCTCCAGATTTGTATAGGCCCATCCTAGTTATTCCTGGTAAACCATTTGATGACAAAGATGCTGTAACCAGTTTTACTAAGATTTTAGTTTAGGTCCCAATTATTCAAACTAAATAAATTATCAATGTATCTCTAAGTTCAAATAATTAGATAAAAAAAAAAACTTTCATCGACCGTTGATCTAAGTTAGCACTGTTAGGATGACATTTTGCACGCATAAGGATAACAACAACGACCTGTTTGTACATTTGGGTTTAAAATCAACAGTTTTATAAATATAGAAAAAAAATATTCTATTATCACGAACTAATCCACTTGTAATAATAATAAAGAATTTAAATGATCTGACTACAGTGTTAATGATTTAATTTTTTTAAAGATTCCAATTGAAAAACTGTTTGAAATTTTTTGAAACAATTATTATGGTATATAACGTTCATGCAAACAATCTGGTAAAGTATTAAATTTACTAATTAGTTCATTTTCTTCCTAATATATCAATGAATGCAATATACAAAGTTATACTGAAAGGTCTGGACGGTATGAAAGTTATTGGTTAATTCTTTTATTACTATTCCAATGTTTTAAATTGCTATTGATAGAAATATAAAATATCTTGTTACTTTCTGTATTTCTGAAATTTGTTTTTAAATATAAAGGTTTCCAATACGTTTTTTTGTATCCCTATAGGCGTTAAACGTTCTCGTATTGGTGCTAACTTATACCAATAGTTTGTGGAAGTTTGTTTATGAAAAACACCCGAAACTTGGTTTTATTTACATTTTCAGATACACTGATAACCTAACTATTCAGAGCATTAGTAACTTTATTACTATTATATATATCCTGCTAAAATAGAAATAAAATGGATTACATCGTCTGATAATAAGACTCGACCCTTATTTTTTTGTTTATCTTAGATATAAGAATATGCCATGGTTCTGTTAATGTAAACTTCATTTTTACTCAAAAATGTTATAATTCCATTGTTTTGCTTAGATACTGTACAATTTGTAACAATATTTAATGCTTTATGTTTGGTATAAATACATTAATTTATAAGAGTTAAATGTAATAGTTGTCAAAAACATTATTTTAATATTAATACACTTTCCAAAGTATTTAACTTATTATATGGCTGTTCTATCTTTCACATGTGTCAAAGTAGCAATGGGTGATTAGCATACTGTTTAGGAATAAAGTTTTGTTATGTATTGGATATTGGAAGCTGCAGGGTAAATTACTGTTTGATTTGTTTTTATTGATCTAAACATCTTAGTTTTCTAATACGTTATACGTGTTTGTGATCATTAAGGAGGTTGGAACAACAATGTGAAACATAAGTTTTACTTATCACTTGTTTTTGTTCTAATATTTTTATTTTCTCTCTCATTTTTGTGCCATTATGATCAATTCCTTTTCTCTCCTGCAGACAGTTATTAGGGGTTGTGATCACTTATTCCGGCTTTAAAATGTTTCGTTTTTATTATTTCAAGTTTAATTTTTCATGTGAGGCTTGAGAATAGATGCTAAATTTGATAGATAATGTATGGGTCCTCCTTCTGCAGACACCTCTCTTACCAGAATTCATTTTACCTGTAACCTTCACTGTAACTTATATATAAACTTATAAACTTGTACACATATATATATATATATATATATATATATATACATACAACTAGTTATTAGTTTAATTTAACTAAACTAAAAAGTAAATAATATATACGACCCAACAAGACGTGACGAAGGGACGGAAGTAGTTACGTTACT